CACTATGGGGAATAAGAAACAGTGTAGGCTCTCGACCGTTGTTTTTCATCATTTAAACGTCCAGGGACTATCTTATGCTAAAGTCGACCTACTCCATCAGTTGCTACTTAATCAGGATAATCAGTCTAAAATTTTATGTCTTTCGGAATCTCATCTGTCTGATAATGATCCGGATCAGCTCTACACCTTTGCTAACTACCAACTGTTTCGTAAGGACCGCACGAAAGCATCGGGTAAAACAAGGGGGGGTGGCCTGCTACTTTATTGTCCTGCTCATATCCCATGTCAAGAGGTTCGCAGAACTGAAACGTGCGGGCGTTGTGAAAGCTTGTGGGTTCTCCTCCAGATAGGACAGCGAAAGGTGCTACTTGGAATCTTGTACAGAGCCCCTGATGCCAGCGCCATTGATACTGAATTTCTTTTTAACCATGTGGACGAAATGTTGCTTAAGTATCCTGGTATTGATCATGTGGTATGTGGCGATATTAACATTGACGTCTCAGTACAGTCTTCTCCCTATTATCGCGGTTTATTGAACAATCATGCGTTGATCGATACGGTAGCGGGATATACCAGGATAGCTTGTCGAACTCGGAAGAAAGATGGTACATTAATGCACAGTGCTAAGAAGATTGACGTGATGCTGTGTTCACCAGCAGAAAGTTATTCCTCTTTGCCAGCCGAGGACGTGTGCTTTTCAGATCACAGACTATGCAGAACAGTTGCGTCCTACAAATCAGCAAGTCCTGTACATAAAACGATTACGTTCCGATTGTGGAAGCATACACCAGAGGAAGTGTTCCACCAGCGCGTTCATGTAGTTTCAGAGAAGTTCAGTGTGTATGACGAATCAATCCCCATCGAAGATTTTATAACAAATTATGTGAATGAATTGAACCAGATCGTTGAAAAGTGCTATCCCCTAAGATCCCGAAGAGTTCGCCAGGATGATCCACCCTGGATGAGCATGTCGTTAAAAAACCTAATAAAAGAAAAGAATCAAGCCTACCGCCTTCGGTGCCAGTTCCGTGAGCAACCCGAATACACGCAGTATGACGATCATTTTCACGCACTGAAAAAACAAGTCCGCTTTGCTATTATCGACGAAAAACGGAAATTCTTCCAACACAACCGGGATGCTGGAGAAGTGATTTGGCGCGAGCTTGGAAAATTACTTCGGAAGAGAAAACAAACGGAAGAGCCAGCACTGGATCCGAATTTACTGAATGCGCACTTTGTAGCACAAGGACTGCATGGCAATGAACACGCTACGCCACCCACCCCTTCGGGCGGTGGCAGTACTAACCCTTTGCTTTGCAGATTTGAAGAAGTCACCGAGGATGTCGTTTCTTTCCAGTTGCAGAAGATGGCCAAACGAAAAAAAAGCGCTGGACCAAGTGGTATGCCTGCAAAAATCCTCGGTGGAATCAGCAAGTATTTAACGAAACCGTTGACGTGCATGATTAATGCTTTGCTGAAGTCCGGAGTATATCCTGATATTTTCAAAAGTGCCGATGTAGTGGCAATACCAAAGCAAGCCAATGCCCAACAGTCAGATGACTATCGCCCCATATCCCTCGTATGCAATCTCTCCAAAACTTTTGAGAAGGTAGTGCAGAATCAGTTGGTGACCGCTCTGAAAAAAAACAACATCCTTTCCGACAAGCAGTCTGGATTTAGAGAAGGACACTCCTGTGAAACACTGCTCCTTAAAGTTTCGGAGAGATGGCGAAAAGCAATCGATAACGGGCATGTCACTGCTATATGTCTCCTTGACCTGAAAAAGGCGTTTGATTCGGTTTCCCATGCCAAACTCCTCGAAAAACTAAGAACGATCGGAATCGTTTCATGGTTACTTAACCAGTCGGAAGCAGAGAGTGAAAGTAACCGCGCGTGTGTCTGACTGGCTACCAGTGCGGTCGGGAGTTCCGCAAGGGACGCTGATGGCGCCTGTACTGTATACGGTTTATACGAACGACATGACTAACGGAAGCGACGCAGAATGTTTTGCAGATGACACCATACTGTTCGGATGCGGTGCCACCAAAACAGAAGCAGCAGCGAAACTGACAGTTCAAATTAACAACGTGACGGCTTGGCTTGCAGACAACACCTTTTGCATTAACGAGAAGAAGTGCAAGCTAATGTACATCTGCTCGGACGCAAAGAACAGCCAGCACTCTCCTGCTGTAACGATCAGCGGTTATCAGATGGAAGCGGAACAGTCGGTCAAGTATCTTGGCGTTTACATTGACCGCAACCTGAAGTGGAGTGTGCATTACGATCACGTACTGCGGAAATTCAACTACGGCATCGCAATGATCAACCGCGCGAAAGACGGCCTGGATCTGCCTCAGCGTAGGAGCCTTTACCATGCCTGTGTACAGCCACAACTTGACTACGGGTCAGGTACGTGGTCGCCGGCATCTTCGGCTTTACGCGACAAGATAGACAGGGCACAGCGGAAAGCACTGCGGGCGATTTCTGATTACAAGGAGCGGGTTACACCCGAGCTGTATCAGAAACTGCGCATCCTGCCGGTGTACGACCGTTGGAAGCAGTCTTAAGCGGTTTGGTTGTATAAGATCTACAATCACGAAGCATACCATCCGCTGAGGTACATGGTCGAGATGATCGACTTCACGGATTTCGGAATGCGGCACAACCTGCGGAACCCAACGAGAATTGCTGCCAGAGCGAAGAAGAAGATCGGAGAAGGCACGCTGGCCATGCGACTAAAGAACATCTTTGAGCGCATACAAAAAGTTAACTTGCATATACTCAGTGTTGATGGTGTGGGATTTTTCAAATTTGCTCTCCGAACAGTTGATTTGTCTTAGAAATTGTTATTTTGTTTAGTGTTGTGCCGACCAGACGTTGAAGTAACGTTTAGCGGGTTGTCTGCTCCTGATGTAATAATAATAATAATAATAATGTAAGGGCTACCACAGGAGATAAATGAAAACTCCGGGCAGCAAAGCATCTTATTCACTATCCACTATGAAAGTAATTCCATTGACATGCGACATGAGCATAATTTCTGATTCTGCTGTTGCCGGATACCAAAGGAAGTAAAGGAACTACGCTGAAGGGAAATATGTCGTCGTCGGTCCATCTAGCGTTTTGTTTGTCTCCTAAAACTTATTTTCTTGTACGCACTTCGAATCGTAAACCTGAAAAATACCTTCGAAATCCCGAAAGTATCGGATCGGCTTCTTAACCAAAAAACGCTGACCGCTAGCGTTTTGAACAGGCAGATGGCACTTTTATGTGAGACGTGCTTGATAATTTGTGATGGTGTGTTTTTCGTCCAAATGCATACCATATCCACAAATGCAATGCGTCTCTTTGATATACGCCATGAGCACAATTTCCTGCTGGAAGGATTCTGTTCGTGACATAGACCAAAGTTCTGCATTACGAAAGTGTCGCAGTCGTGCCCTTCGGTTGTGGTGACTTAGGTTCCCAATTTCCATGATCCTAGCATAGTGTTTAAAGAAATAAAGGAACCGGCTGCAGAACGGCGAAACACCGGCTTACAAAATTCATGATTCGATTCCAGTTGTCGAACCGTTTTAGTCATAGGAACTCCGCTGTTATTCAAGTGTATTATTAAGCAGCAAACGCTGTTTTTGTCACCGTCAACAAAAATGTGTACCGATTCAGCACGTACACTGAAGTGTAGTGACAAGTCGGTACTTACATCGTTGCATCTAAAGCATTCTACATAAAATGGCAGCATAATTATCAAACGACATGTACACGCATGTGCGTGCAGTGTACGGCATTTTATTCTAGCCTAGCTATTTTATTTCAGCTTCAACCATAACTTCTGGTAATGTTACAACATATACAGTAACTACAAAATATAGTGAATATGGCTCGTCGGTCCGGGATTTAAAATTTAAAAATAAAATCAGCAAATATCGTGTACAATAGGAACACATCCAATGCGGTGCTGCCTTGTGAAAACAAGGCCTTAAATTCAGCTCGGTCACTTGATGTTGAGAAAGCGCGTAATGCTCCGCTGTTAAACCGGCTCTTATTGTTGCTTATCCCACCATTTTACGGACACCCTTTCGGCCATTCCACAAGGCAGTGAATTGCGTCTCCTTTTGATCTCCGCCACGAACACAATTTCTTGCTGGTAGAATCATGCTCGTGACGGAAACCAAAGGATCTGCATGGAAAGACATTACAGTATGTCGTCGTTGGTCGCTCCAAATCGTTATATGTATATTTGTTGACCAGTTATTTAATTATACCGCCAAGGCCCCAATCGTGGAAACGCTGGAATCATCCGTCACAGTAGGAGACATAATTACATCGTAGTTATACACGAGAGAGCTGGATATCTTTTTCATCGTTAAGTCGGATTTCTACCGATTTAGCATGCACGTTAGAGTGGCAGTAAACAGTATGCGAGTACTCCAACATTGGGTGGTGTGTAAAACCGCTACTCGGCTTAGGCCACACAGACTACCGTGTCGTGGCCGAGTTTTGGCATTTTACATTATCCAAGTAAAAATCTATTAATTTATAGGTGGTCTTAAAACCGGCTTCGTTGTGAACCAACTATAACGTGTTAGCAGTCCTGATGCTAACGTTTTACGCGTGTAACCGATAGAAGGAGAACTGTACTGCTCCATGATACACCAACTGTGATACATCTACCGTATCTGTATGTGCCTTATCATTAAAAAATCTCTTACTTTTGCTCGTCTGTAGAAGTCTTGCGTTTAATGTTGACTACAACTGCACTTACAGACTATCGTGTAAATATTTTATTGCCTTTTTTATTAGACAACATTGCTAAAAAAACTAGAATACCGTACATACTACATAGTACGTAGTTATAGATCAAAAATGAATTCATCATGTAGCTTTTAAACAAATCTATCAACATCTTAACATGTTCAACAAAATATCAAACAAACAATTTATCATTCAAAAAAACAACAGCAATATCACAATAAAGGTATTCGTTCCATTTTGGTTGCCTACGCACGCTGGTGGGCGAAACCGTGTGCGTGGTCGAATCTGCCGCTGGACGCCACGCTGTCCCTCCGGTCATTCTGCGCCAACGCCAGCTCGCACAGCTGCCGCAGCGTTAACGGGTTGCTGACCTTTCGCAGCGGCTCTAACAGGTAGATATCGAAATCTCGGTGGAGTTTATGATCGCGGTAGGATATAACTGAATCCCCGTGCCGGGAGACAGCTACCGCGCTGTCAATGAGATCCAGGAGGGATTCGGTTCGCACGCTGTGTGGATGCTGGGAAAAGGCGAAGTGGCCGCTGTTGTACAGGATGCGCAGATGACCGACGCGGCCGGCGTACACGCAAGACAGGGTGAAGAGATGGCCGGTGTGCATGCTCTTGCGCAGGAGGAAGGTACCGTTGCGGCGGCCGGCGAGGAGCTGCTCGGCCTGGGCGGCGTTAATGGCGCCCCAGAAAAATCCACACTGAAAGAATACGAAAAACCGTCAAATTATTTTTACTTCTGACTGTGTATTATTAAGCTTTAACAGAAACTAAATTTCACTATCATGCAGTGCATTTTATATGCTAGGTTATAACTGCATATCAGATCGTGTTACATATTAAAACGTATTCACACAAATATTCGTATAAAAAATATTAGTATTCGCGTTAAAACAAAGTAGAGACGTATTAAAAACAAATATTCGTAAGCAATTTATTTTGAACAGAAATTCTACTAAAGGATAACTAATTCTACGACCAGTACAAAGGTCACGGTATGACAGCATCCCAGTTCAATAAAATTTCAATAATATTCGCCACGTTTTAGAAAACTATTGCTACATGCACTTGCTTTATTAAAATATTTCTACTTTTTAATATTTTTTGCTAACAGAATTTATTAAAAATGAATTTAAATGTAATTCTTATGTTAAATTTTTATTCTTATATAAAACTTGTTTGCATATTGCTTGGATGCTTTGGTGGCACACATTTTGCACTCTAATAATTTTCCATACTTAATTATCTGTGCAAACAAGCATTACAGCGAGAAAAAAGGACTAATGCCGGGAGCTCCGTTAATTGCCACGACTATGCACATAATCTTTGCCAAAATCTACATGTAATAGATATCGGCCACAATTTTGAGCATCCTATTCCGTAAACCCATGCAATGAGAAAAGAATGGAGAGAGAGATCATGTCATTCTTTTGTACACTTGATTAAATCGAGCATGTTTACCAGGCCTATCGTTCATTGAAGACGAGAAGAATTTTATGGACTGTCTAATTCTACTTAATGCCTGATTGTCGTAGCTTTGTTATGCCTGCAGAATGGTGCATAAACACATCATTGTTCCGCTGAACTTCCTGCTTTCGAGCAGCTTAACGTGGACAATCCGGTTTGACCTATTAACATTATATTTAGAGGATTATGCCACCCGGAATGTCGTCCTTCGAAATGTTTGTTCAAACAATGCAAATCGCTGGACACTTTTTCTACCGAAAATTGCTGATCGCGTTTTTAATTACATTTAGCAAATTGGTTCCCAGACACTGTATTATTGAGCCGGCATCTGAGAAGCTGGAAGAACAAAGTTCACAATTTTAACTAACCATGTACTACTTATATATGAAGTTTTTGCCAGATTATAACTGTTCGGTTAAAAATAAATACAATATTTTTGAAATTACTGTATATTCTTTATAGGTCCAAGTATTGATTTACAACAATATCGCAAATTAAATTTGCTCGATGGTACTCAGAAAGTAACCAATTTGTTTTCGGTAGAAATTGACGCCATGTTTTGACCAACCTCGTCGACCAACCGCTGATTCCTGGCGGCGTTCGATTTGGAGCGAATCTCCAGATAAGGCGAGAGAGTGAGATATTTTTCGGCTGTCGGCAGGGGACGGTCGCGACTGGGACCTGCAACACAGGAAATCAGCAGTCAACATCGAAATTTCACCGGCTTGTTAAACCGCTCAAACAGTAAACAACCACAAAATTTCTTTAGGTGATTCTCTTTTAAATATTAAATTAACCGAATTTTCAGAATTAAATTCTTGGAAATTCTAGTTTGATTTGTCTCCTTACTACTTGGCCAAAACCATCGCTATTTTTATTCAAAACCTTTTTCAAGATGATTTATCATCATTTACGAAATTTGTGAAATTGTTATGCAGTAAATTTGTATATAATACTGTACTTTAAAATTCAAAAGATCAAAAAAATTTAACAGATGAAATGTGATTAAACGTTAATAATTAGAAAATTTATCTGTGGCAACGTCTATGTAAATCTGAAATTCATCGAGAGCATTTTGTTCCTGAAATTTAAATTACGTAAATAATTTTGGTGGATAAGGTCATCTTAATCCGGTAAATTAATATTCGGAGAAATTATTTAACAACCGGAAATTAGCAAATTCCTGTACGATATTCCGGTATACACGTTAATTACTCACAGTGGATCCGCGTTACCGCATGCTGCAGCCGCAGGTGGCGCTCGGTGGGTGTTTCCTCGGGAACGCCGGATAACGCAACGGTTTCGTCGCGTACCGGTTTCGCTTTCTGTTGCTGGCGTTTCCTACCGTTAACGGCGTTAAATAGGTTACGCAAAAATTTACTCAAACCCATTTTCTTATTCTAAAGCAATTCATAAGCAGTTAAGCACAGAAAATCTCACGCATGCGCGATTCTCTTCAGAAATGTCGACTTAGAGCGAAGCTGCCGTTACAGTAATAAAACTGCGTAATGCCTGATTAACAATTAATCATTTATTATTTAGTTCACTAAGCAAAATCAGCCGTAATTTAATCAGTCGAAGGGCATACGATTCAGGATGCTTCTGTGCTCGATTTAGAGGAACAATGACCGGCATTCATCGACGCTCCGCCTCGTCTAGACGCGGGGCAACTCCCAGCCAATCAGCGACTTACGCACTGGATGATTCGATTTACTACAATGGTACAATGCAGCAGTATGAAAATGCGTACACACTTGTTTACATGGCACTTTCCGATCGGTGACGGGAGCTGCCAGGAATTCACCGGCAATTTTCGAACGCGTCAGCTGTAAATCGAATAAGCTTTGCAACGCGACCTTTATCGTCTTTGCAAAATCGATTAAACTGTGAAAGGGATCGTTGAAATTTGTTCTAGAAACTACTGCGATCGATACGACAATACTTAAAAGTAAAATAAATCTTATATGATCAATTTAAATAAATCGCATATCATCAATTTAATTTTATTAAAACAAGCTTATTATAAACCAATCGTTTAATCAATAATTTTAAAAATTTTATATGTTAAAATTTCCGTATCATCAATGCGGAAAGTCCTAGACATCGAAACTGCACAAGCTTTATAGGAAAAATAATACTAAGAGTAAGAACAGCTTCGATTACGTACACATCATATCTACCTGTTGTACTCTGTATTCAATAAATTATTGGTGGGTTAATTTATTTTTTCACGGTGCATTCAGCATTATACACACATTACAATTTATTAAAAATATCTGATATTTCTGGGAGTCGGTTTTATTTGTTCCTTTTTCATATTTCTGTGTATTTTATATTTCTATATTTTTTGTATTTTCTGCTTTTTTTTGTATTTCTATATTGTTTATATTTCCAAATTTTTATATTTCTCTATTTTTTGTATCTCAAAATGTTTTATAGTTAATATATATGTATTTTTATATTTTTGTTCTTTGTTTTCGATTTTTTATCCATTTTTGTGTGATTATCTTCCCGCCTTTCTCTAGTATATCGGATATCGATTAGCTCCATCAATATATTTTCAGCGATCACTTCACGCCATCGTAAGCGATTTTCCCCCCTACGGAGCACATTCACAAAACCGATCCATATTATTAAACTCCCGTTTTCCAACCGCTGCGTTTCAAGAAGCCTAAACCACCGGTGCCGTATAAACCCATAAAGATAAACCTTCCAGCCCAGGTTATTGTAGCGCAGCCAGATCGAGTGCACTCCGTGTCATCATTAAGCAGCAACACAAATTACACAACCAGTGCACACATCTATCTGCAGCTGCATCCCAATGTCACGCCACAAACCGATCAATGCCGGGCCATATACCGGAAGCACCCCTGTGTACATATATCCGGCGCGCTGTTGGCAATATATATGCCACCCATCGTCGCGATTATGGATGGGCAAAATGAGAAATGCCGGCACGGAGAAACGCGCGCGTTTATCCAAGATTCAAGCTGCAGTATTTACGGGATTTATTCGTCATACGATGCCGTGCACGGCTTTATCTTAGGGCTCATCACTTACCGGCTCCGATTACCGTGGCAAAGTTAATTGGAATTCTGGAGGATCTTCTTCCGCGCCATGCAGCGTGCGGCACGTGCCGGTTAATACCCAGTGGTGTAATTAAAGACAACTCTATCGATTCTTTGCGCTGTTTTAAGCTGAAGCGCTCCTTTGGGAATACCGACGTGAATTTCTTGTTAAACCATCTTTGACATGCGAATACGATGTAACCATAGAAAGTACAGTGTTTTGTTTCAGCGCTTCTCTGCTCTAAGCCATTGCTTATGCGCGTTAATGTGTCCCTGTTGCAGATTCTTCGTTGGTTTTATTTTTAAATCGATACCCGACGGACCGACTGGCTGATTTCCTGTTTAATAGCACTAAAAGATTTTGTGCTTCGTTTTGGCGCATACTGCGCATACAAATTCTTGTCTGTTCAAACCTTAAGCTGAGTCTGTACGCATTGGATTTGATCTTGTGGTAAACATTTTGACAATTTTATATTTTAAAATTATTAACCGCGGACGATTCGCTCGATTCCCTTTTCTGAAAGGCAAAAAAGTCAACGTATCGATTAACGCGTACTGCGCAAACGAGCGCTTCCCTGTTCGAGCTCTATGCTGGAGTCATACGCACTGGATTTATTATACGCTGTTTGTTGAATTTAATTTCAATTTCTGTACCGCGGACCGACTAGCCGATTCATGTTTATACCAGTCCGACAGTGAACAGCTGGTTTTGTCATCTTCGCAATGTCACCTGTCAACGACACCAACGTCACAGACACTGTGCGCTGGACCTTTATCACCGCCGGCAAAGTGACCATCGCATCCATCAGCTTAGTACTAAACATCTCCATGCTGTTATTTTTCCTAGCCGATAAACGCCGTATCACCGCGTTCACCGTCTACCTCCTCTGCTTGTTAAGCAGCAACATCTTATTCCTCTCGTGCTGGGCACCGCTGAACGTCGTCAGCGAAGTGTACACCGTGTGGTGGATGGGCCAATCCGCGTGCGCCTTCCTAAACTACATGAACTTCGTGTTTAGTGGGTGTGTCTTCCACACCCACTGCCTCATCACCATCAACCGCATCTGGGCCATCCGCTTCCCGGTCAGCTACCGCAACCACCATAATAAACGCGCCGCGGTGGCGATTTGTTTGGGAATCGTCTCGTTCAACCATGTCTTCAGTCTCCCGGCGTATTTCATCGGGTTGGTGCAGCACCGCGATCGGCCGGTGGACCGGTGCGGTGTGTTCTTCGACCAGCAGCCGTTCTTCGCTCGGCTACAGCATATTGTCGTGTATGAGTTTCTCCCTGTTCTTCGTCGCCGGGGCGTACTTGTATCTATACCGGAAAGTGAGAAAGCAGCGTCTACAGCGCCCGCTCACTCGGGAAGGGTCCACGGCGGAGGAGAGTCTCTCCATCGACCAGGGCATCCGCGCGATTATCCGCATGACCACGCTGCAGGTGCGCCACGAGGAATTGGGTCCTCTGCAGCCGCCCGAGGGGCGGGTGCGCCCGAACGCAACGGATACGAAGCGGCGAAGCCGTTCGTGGTGCTGACGCTGTCGACGGCCAGTATCGTGGTTTGCTGGACGCCGGTGATGGTGTGGTGGGCGGTGTGGTTGTTTGTGGATAGTGCGCTGCTGCCACCGGGGTTTTATCACGTGGCCATGCTGATCTACAATCTCCAGGCCATGCTGGATCCGTTGTGGGTGGTGCTGAGTCTGCGCAGTGTGCAGACGGCGCTGCGGGCGTGGTTACCGCGGTGCCGAAAACATGTGGTGTGAGGTGTATGGCATGTAATCCAATAATTCTTTTAATGGCAGATTTTTTAAAAAAATTATCCCGACGTGAAATTAATGATAATCGATGTTTTTTGACATATCTCGTACATGTGTCAAAAACTGCTGATATAATGACATGTTTTTTTCTGGGTTTACAACGTGAGCACCTTGCCAACCGCAACTAAGGCAGCGAGATCTTAGCTGCAAAATTAGTCGTGCGTTTCGAATTTTCGATTACTGTAATGTACTGATTTTATTCTGGCCTTATGCCAAGCAATAATTAAATCAGAAGGTATTTATGGAAAATATAAAAGCGTGGACAAACACGCCGCAAGTCAGGAGATATAATAATTACTTAAAATAAATAATAAGACGTGGTGTCACGGTAGAGGTCAAGCTGTTTTGCTGAATGTCGCAGCAAACCATTCTCGCGTTTTTTCCAAATCACTGGCTAGAATTGCTGTAAAATGTTACCGTAATCATAGTCCTACTAATCCTTATACCGGCCCGTATACTGGTTAATCTGTCGCAATGCTTGACCACTCGGGATCACTTCATAGAGATCCCACGTCTGCGGCCGCCGTCGCAGCTCATTACACATGTCCGTGGCGCAGTAGCAGGTGATCTCGAAGGTGAGCGGCGAGTCCCTAGCACACACCGGTGGAGCATGGAGGCGGGGATCCCGCAGGCGACCGCATCCGGATGTCTTGCAGTAGGCACCCATACTAAAGGTGGCCATGCAGAACGATCCCTGTCCGTGTCGCACTGGACGCTGTTTCCCGCCTGGCATTGCGCCGTGCAGTTGAGGGCGAAGGCTCCTGTGATAGACCAGTAGAAGAAGGAAACTACCGCGGTACATCATGGCTTTACGTGCTGTGTGGCAAGACCGCGGACCTGGCAGGGTATAATATGTACAGTCGGTAACAAACTACGAAGAACGCATCTTATCAATTAGTGCCCTCTTTTGCCCCTTCGAAAAACGTTCCTCAAAAGGCATTAGCAGAAGAAATTCTCAGGGCTTTGGAAACAACAAATAGAGGTCCCTGCTGGAGTACTAACGAAAAATATTTAGCCCCGAGGCAGCTGTAGATGACAAGGTCAAGATCACACCGACCGCTCGCGAGTGCAAGAGTCATTGTCCAGGCAATATTGAATGCAAGTGTTGATACAAATCGGTAAAAAGCACACTGCATGAACAGATTAATACTACCGTTTGTGTGCAGCAAAAGACCATTTGTATGTAGTAAAGCAACTACAGTACTTACAAGTTCGTGATATCTGATGTCTGATTAAATGAGCGCGATGGAGCCGACATATCGGTGTAAATGATCAAAACATAAAGCGCAGATATCGAACATCAAGAATTTCCTTAGAAAATTCTTCCTATTTTACGGATATGACACATACTGTCGTAATTCCCCGGTCAGTGCAGTAGAAGTTCTCAAAAGCGGAAGAATCCGGAGTATCCCGTGCTGGAGCGCCCTGAGGCGTGCCGTTGCAATTTTAAAAGAAACAACAGAGGTATTTTACGGGTTTATCAGCAACGATAATGTACAGTCACGTGATATGGTTCAGATTTACACAGTCGTTTTATTAATCATAGAACAGGGTTTTTTTTCTCAATGCATTTTGAGTCTCGAATATAGCATAATTATTGTTCAACTTTAATCAGCAATGAAATTGGGCAGAATTTTCGAAACCTTGGTTGGACGTTCTACGTTTCGCTTCGTGAGCTTATGTTTCGCTGGTGAATCACAATCATTTGAAGTTTGAAAGCGACTCATTATTAAAGGCATTTCGAACCTCGACGTACAATACGCAAATGCCAAATTTGAAACGCAATAACAACATAACGAAAAAATGCCCTCACAGTCACTACGAATAACACTAACACGAATTTAACGGAAGTGTGAAATAATTCCTTTTCACCAGCTTGAATCCTTTACTAATGAAACCCACATCTTCAGTTTAATTGCAACAATTTAATGTGAGCGAATTATTTCACAATTCCTCCATACTCTACGGCAACGGCGGATTCTACGGCAACGGCGGATTAAGCAGTCGGAAGGTCGTATTGCGCCAATGTTCCGTACGTTCGTAATAGTTCCATGTCGTCGGACGGCGAGGGAGCTGATTGCACATGTCCGTGGCGCAGAAGCACTTGCTCTTGAAGGGGCTATCACGGGGGACGCCTTCCGGTCCCGTCCAGCAGAGCGGTGGCTGCGGTACCCGCTTTAAGTTTAGATAAGCGCATCCGCCATTGACACACACGTCCGCCTCGTCAAAGCTGACCACGCACAGCATGTAATTGCCGATGCATTCTGCAGTCTTTTGGCCTGACACGTCACAATCCCTGGCGCACCTGGTGGCGCAGACCGGATAGGCCAGCAACATAAGGAAGATCAGACCTGGACCAATCATTTCGTTATAAGAATTCTCGGTGGAATGCGGGACTGGATCTGCAAGTAAAAGACAGTACCGGTATTTGCAGTGTACAATATCGAAAAACGGAGAAAAGTGGAAACTGAACAATCGCGCGGTTCACGAGGTTATTAATACAATCAACAGCCTATGTGCAACAGGAACACATCCAATGTGTTCCGGATGAACGCCAGCGGCTTGTTCGAACAGAGAAGCGCCGAAACAAACTTTGTTTCGTGTAACGAATCATCTCGTTTCAGTTCCACATACGGCATTATAATTGTACATACATGTATAGTTACACTAACATACGATTAATATCTCAACAATTTACGCGAATGTACGTAGAAAACCAAATTAATGACAGCCAAGGTGTTAACCGTGATTACTTTTGATTGGACAATATCGGAAAACCGTGCCGTAGAAAATCGGCAAAACAAGTTTAATAAAAGTTATATAATATAGCGAACACATGTTAAAGATGTATGCTTAAATGAGCTCGATCCAGCCAACGTATCAGCCTACACAAACGTATCAGTCTGTAGGTACACATGGTTATCTAACATTAAACTGTAAGGTACAGATACAAATCTTCGTGTTCGGTGTTCGGTTTTCGTGTTCGGTTCGGTTCGGTATTTTGTAGGATATTTAATATTTTCTTTCCGCCGGACTGTCCGCCCAACAGACCAGCCGAGCAAAACTTAAGCGACAAAATTTCACACAACCTTTGGACTCATTGGTTACAGGAGAAAGCTGCGCCTCTTTCTGCTGCTTCTGATATGGCTGTAAAGTAATAATGTACTACCTATTTACTTTGGTTGAGGCTCCCTATAGGCGCCAAATTCAGCTGATTCCAGCTGAAATTTATACGTACTAAGATTTCGTGTAGGTTTGTGGTGAACGCCAATACGAGTTCATCATTTTAGCAAGAGTGTATTTGCAAGTCTGAAAATGTCCGAAACTGGTAAAAATTTGTTCAGTTCATTAAAGCGGACTGCAAAACAGCCGGCCAAATGTTGCACTAACCAAAATACTCATGTACGGTTTTGTCCCGCCAGTAGCAAAGATCGACGGGCGTTGTAAAACCGTTACATTACAGGCTTAAATCGCCTTCGACTATTTCGTCACCACGCAGAAAGTTGTACCATGTCTAGAATCTCTGGTAACCTTTACATACCAAAATAACGCAACACCATAGCGAAAAATGCCAGTACGAGCAGCAAAATCACACTTTACATTATTATAATTAAAATGAAGATGTGGTTCCACTAGTAAAGGATTCAAGCTGGTAAAGAGAAATTATTCCACACTTCCGGTATATACTCTACGGCAGCGGCGGATTGAGCAGGCGCAAGGTCCTGTTGCCCTGATGGTGTGTAGCTTCGTAATATTTCCATGTTGCCGGACGCCGACCGAGTTGATTGCACATATCCGTGGCGCAGAAGCAAGTGCTCTTGAAGGGAGCGGCATGGTGGACAGCTCCCGGCCCCGTTAGGCAGAACGGTGGCTGCAGCCGGGGATCCTTGAGTAGACCGCATCCACCCCCGACGCAGTTGTCCGCATCATCAAAGTCCACCGTGCACAGCGTGAAATTGTCGGCCACGCCGCATTCAGAACCGTGTTGGTCTGGCGAGTCACAGTCCGTGGCGCATTTGGTGGCGTAGACCGGATAGGCGAGTATTAGGAGGAAAATAATATCTTGCCACATCATTCTTTTACCTGGGAAGACCGGAACCGGACCTACAAGGGTACGACACATACAACGTAGGACTGCAAAAGTGGAAAGCGGATTAACAAGAAATCGTGTGCATTACAGGGCAAGGTTAATACTCTTTTATCGCTAGCAACGTGTTCGAGCAGGGAAGCGCTTGTTTACGCCAGTTATACGTTTACAACGAAGCATTTGCATTTGCAGTTCTAGAACGTACGCACATGTGTACAAATTTAGGATTAGCACAGCAGCATGAAGAAGCCCGGCAGTATGCTTACCGGTATTTTTGATTGAAATATCGAAAATCAGTACTAAAGAAAACCAGCAGCACGCAGCCTGCTGGATAGTGGATAGTGTATAATTATAACTAAGTTAGTCTATGTACTGTGTATGGAGCAAAACAAATTGAAAAATGTATGGCAAAATGAGCTCGACCAAGGCTACCTATCAGCAAAATCAATCATAACAGTAAGCCCACAAACGGTAGTTATCTATGGGACAAATCTTCGTGTAGGGTTTGTTGGCTTAGCTGCACTTTTCGTGTTATTTTTTTGGGCATTATTTTCCCTTCGTTAGACTGTCAGCCCAACATATTAACCGAAATTTCAGCGACAAAAATCCATGAAGACTTTGGACTCACTAATCACCAAAAGAAAACTGGATATTGCTAAATTCGTTACTTCTTATTTTATTTGGTTGAGGCGTCGCTATAGGCACTTATGAACTGTATGTGCAGGAAATCTAGTGGTTTCCGGCTATTTAAGTAACATTTAACGATGTTAAATGACGTTAATGTTAGCTGGAGGTATGCACTCCCGCTCTTTTTTCTTTTCACCACGTGTAGGCGGTTACGTGATGTTGGTGGCAGCTGCGCGTCGCCGGAGCTATCTAGATCAAAGCGGCCGCCGTCACGCGCACGGCCGCTGTTGCACCCGGCACTGCTCCTGCATGCCCGCTTTTGGTTTTGCATTTCACTGTTCTTGTTCAGCATTTCTGTTCTGCACTTCTGTTCTGTGCGCGCGAGTGATCTGTTTTACCACCCGCCACACCCTGCTGTTTCTTCTGTTGTTATTTCGCGTTGCTCAATAAAGGGGCCTTCGGTTGCGCAGGGATCTGGTCGCTCTCTTCCGCCGACCCCCCGGTCGGCCGGCTTCTCGCTGACCCACGGTCACCGCACACAGCCGATCACCGAGAGTACCAGCTTCCCAGCAGCCGGGGTTCCAGCGCCCACAGTGGACTCCGGAAGCGGCAACATTAATGCCAGATTTAATACTCATTTAGATTTGTGTTAAAACGCCAGTGCAATTGAATTAATTTTAGTATACACATTTATTTTATTTTCTATTTGTTTACTAATTTATTTGTCTATCTTATTTTATGCGCAAATTTTAGTACAGTACATACTCGTATAAGTGTACATTAATAAGTAAATATGTACAAGGCTGCTCGGAAAATGCGTAAACTTGGTGAAAATTGGACAGTTTCTAAGAGCGAACTGTGAAAAAGACTGGCAGTGTGTTTTACAAAGTACTATCCAAAACTGCTCTTAGTTTTTGTTTTTTTTTCCCGCCCGGGTTCCGTACGTATATAAACCCACACGTAAAATCACAGAGAAATCCACGAAATAAAATGACATTGTAACTTCCGATACAGTTATATAAGTTTTTTTTGTTCGTTTAACTCCGCTAAACTTTTACCAGTTGTAAAAATTCTTTAATGTGGAATTCTCCAGTTAAAGAAAACAGCATAAGCAGCGTATAAAGTCTGCAAGAAAAAACTGACAGTTAGCGAAATACGCACGTACAAATGTCGTTGAAGGATTTCTACTTGAAAGAAATGCAACAATTTCAATGAGCGATGGTCAGTACAGTTTGAACATGGGGCCGGGTTAAGGTGACACTGGCGGAGTGGGATCGGGAGCGTCGCTCGGTGCTGGAGCGCATGGAGGTGTGCCGGTACGTAGCCACTGCTTCCACGTCGATACTCGTTCCCCGTCCGGCGGCCAGCAGGAGACCGCGCACCGCTGTGCGGTATTCCGCGTTCAGGCTCAGGAAAATAAACTACAGAAAAACAATCAGTGTGATTATGCGTATCAGGTATCGATGCGGCGTCGTGCGTACGTGCAATTGTCGGGTTGTATTTCCTAATTGATTACCCGTATCGCAATTATGGGATACAGACTCTGTTACAGTATTAATATCAAAGTTCGCTTCCAGAGGGCAATGACGTTCAGCCGGCGTATAAAGTGGACAGAAATTATCAGATATTAGTGTTTAGTGGAGCCGGTTTTCTAGGAACGTATTTAATTTTGTATGATTATAATTAACATAACTAAATCTAAATCTGATATATTTGTTATGGTGATATACAGGCTTTTTCAATGAAATCTTCCGATGTATTCTTAGTGATTTCAAAGAACTACTGATATATTTTTTAGGCTATCTGAAATTTTAATACTGTTTATTGAGTTATATTTACTTTCCCGCGGTTATTATGTTTATTTTGCAGTTATACACTCAAGTTAGAGAGAAATGTACATTAAACTGTTTCGGTTAGGAAAAATACAAATGTTATCGATAAAGAAATACGATATCTTCGTTACAAACCTTTTTATTTTGAAATATACGAATTGTTTTCCGATGAAATAACATTGAGTTAGTGTAAACCTACTCTGTACAAACCACTGATTGGGCTGGTCTAACGCAATATTAATTAATGTGGAATAATTAAGTATACTTATCAAGATTCAGATCTATATTGCCACGAATGGGATACACCAGAGTCGGCAAACCAGAAAAGACTGACCAAAACCAATATTATATTCTGAAAGCCCGTAGTCGAAAACCCGGCCAGATGGTATTCATTTCTTTTAAAACCTCTCCCGCTTCGAGCGCCACAGCGGAAGAGTTTTGACTACCTTCACCAAATGTAACTAAATTATTAGAATAATAATTATCATCGTGTATTTTTAACCAGGCAATGTTGCCACGTAAACCAAATAAAATATAGTTAAAAAATGAAAGTATTTTCCACTAATTAAAATATCAGAATCAATTTAATTAGCAGACCGTTGGGCGTTGGCGTTATTGCGACAAGAACGACTACATATCCAACGTTGTCATCGAGGACAATTTCTAAACAAGTGCCGGCCAAGCAGCGATAGACAGAACTACCGCCACAGTTCAGCGCACAAGCCCGTTAGTTGACCGAAATACCACTACATTCTAGTTAAAATAGCCCGCTAAGCCAGTGAGTGGCCGAACTGCCACTATGGATAGCTATGTCAGCGGTTGACCGAGCTGTCATTATTGTCCGATGCCGAGTGACCGAATGAGCGAGTGACCGAGCTGTCACTACTTTTCAGTGTGAAAAGGCCGTTAGGGAACGAGTGACCGAGTTACCACCACTGTCCGGTGCACAGAGCCCGGTAGGAGAGCGGGTGACCGCGCTGTCAGTAATGTCCGGCGCAGAAAGTCCGTTAGCGCAGCGGGTGACCGGGCTACCAGTGCTGTCCGGCGCGAAAAGCCCGTTCGGTGAAGGAGTGCTGAGCTGCCACTACTGTCCGTGCACAGATCCCGGAAGTTGAGCGGGTGACCGAGCTGTCACTGCTGTCCGGCGCAGAAAGCCCGGGAGGTGAGCAGGTGACCGTGCTGTCACTGCTGTCCAGTGTACAAAGCCCGTTAGGTGAGCGGGTGACCGAGCTACCACTGCTGTCAGAGCCAGAGCCAGTGAAGTGATGAGTTACCGAACTAGTGATCCAGTGCACTATCACTGTTTCGAATTTCACACCTTATAGACTGATATTTCGGCTTTCTTTTGGGGTAGCGGATATCGTAAAATTATCTGTATGTACAGCGAAAGGGAATGCTTTCAAGGTTGAGAGAATCTCAGAATCATGAACTGATTTTCATAGAAAATTCGTGTTTGCCCTATTGCATGTACCGATCATGTTTCGACGAATAGACTGATGTTAATCTAATAAATATTCCTTCAAATTCAAATAAAATAGCCATGGACCACAAGAAACGCGGAGGCGAAGCCGAGGCTGTTTCTTGTAGTCTTGTACTATGGGACAGATACAAATGTATGCGCTACTTAGAAAGTCAAACAGATGGAGAGACTATTGTCAAACCATACTACTTAACTGGTTCCAATCATGCCCTAATTACTGCACACACGCAACGCGCCGTAATTCTTACCGGTGTCCCTGCCGGTCCGCACGTCAACAACAGCTTCATCCACAGAAACACCGGCCAGTTCCGCTTCAAGAATCCCAGGAAATACGTGGTAATCAACGGCGTCGGGACATAGCACAACAAATACCACAGAAACCACACAATCAACATCACCGCGATAGCCTGCTGCCGACGCTGGCGCCTCTATCATTCTTGGCCTTCCCAGTCGCAACGCGATTTGACCGCAAGATACTAACAATTACGATCACATACGCCAAGCCTGTATGCAAAACGGCGGGGTATTGGTCATCCCGTTGAGAATCGCGTACACGGGGAGATTATTCGGCACCGTCCCGCAGTACCCAATAGGCGGGACCAGCGTATACACCGCCGCATACCCCCACAAATGCGGGACCGTGGAGATGAGGCTGACCACCCAGGTGAACAGCAGCATTGCGGTTAATACCGCCGGGTGCGAGACGGAGCGGTAATAATGTGGAAGGGTGATGGCGATCAGGCGATTGATCGCCAGGAACACTGAGTTCCAGTGGGATAACGCGATCAACGTGTACTGGATGAAAAGAAGAGCGGGATGCAGTCTACCGGGAACGGACGTTGCGCTTGTGATGCGTAGATGACGGCGTTGGCTAAAAGTGTTGGCAGTCCGAGGTTCAAGCTGTCGATGACGAGCAAATGGATGATTAAGGGATTGGCGCCTTCTTTAAAATTGTGCTGGTGGAAGAGCGCCGTCACCAATAAAAATCCGGTGACGGCACCGGCCAGACTGATAAAGATCACGGCGATGAACCATAAAGTGATGCTGGAAAAGGTCACGATGGGGATGAATCGGGTGACATTGACCAAAGATATCGATGTTCCGTTAAACGTTGTATTACTCAGTAAGGTCAAGACAGGGACCAATCGAGCAGAATTAAGCGATGGTGACATTGTCGCATTAGAACTTGAATTACTCGGAAAGGTCACGGTCGGAATTAGCTGGGTGGTGTTGACCAATGACAAAACTGTCGCGTTCAAGATGTCGATATGGCGTTGGTAAACATTTTATTGCGCTGGGGAGTTGTGATGCAGTGAGACCAAAGATCAACAGTCAGTATAACCGGTTTTCATGGAAGATCCGTTGGGAGAGATATCTGCCACGTCATGGAAAGCACTAAATATGTATTTACACCGCCGCAAAGCTGCCGATTATTTTTATCCGCGTTCATTACTCTTTAATATTGAGTGCCGACTTTCGACGCAAACAATAATTGGCGCTTTGCAAACTGATGAAAGCCAATATGGGTGGGCTTTTCAGCTAACTATGCCGCCGTGTACGTGAGCGAGTGAGCGCCTTTAGGGAGACGCCACCGGATGTGCGCAGGTAGGGTGCTTTTTAATTATTAGCGTGTATTAAAAACCGGCGGATATTCTCGTCTTTCTGTCTTGCCTACCAGCCGCCCACACGATACAGGCTACCTTAACCAGTGTGTGATGCCGATGTGGAATAGTATTAGCTATTGTTCTATACCGCGTTGTCATGGCGGAAAGCATCCCTGCGGTATTAAGGGGTGTGGATATAAGAAACATTGGTTTGTCTGTTGAATGGAATCATGTACATAGTTATAACACAATAAATTCCCGACCGCCTCGGCGTATGCGGAGTCGTTTTCTCCTAATATGCGCATTATGGGAAAACAATGAAACTGTTATGTAATATCGACCCGTGTTACGTAATCCGGAAACAGCATCCATGATACAGCAAAATGATACAGTGTACTCGTATCGAATGATTTGTGCCGCTACTATAGTATGTAATTCAATGAGAAATATTTTATAGCGTATTGTACACGAGCATTTAGCCAATATCCAAAACAAAAACAGGATGGCAAAAATCACTGTTTGCCCCAATTATACCGGCTGGAGAGACCGGCAATAAAATGTACGAAACATTTTTTGGGAGCACTCAATCGCGGTCTCCCTATTACTCTGGAGGTTATGCTAATGGTAAATGCATGCTTTGCACACCAGCTATACCACGCATAATTAGAAAAAGTTTCTACGTCTTTAGAAATATCTCAAAATTTTTCGAATCGCGGACGTATCAACGAGGTTGTAGTTTCAGCGGTGTTTGGATCGGCCGCATTACATGCTGGTTATTGACTAAAAATCGCTGCAGTACACGTTCTGGACTCCTTTCTCCGCGACGGACAATGAAGTGGTGTAACGCGCACCCGCGGTGAATCCTTAATGGGCAGCAGCGCTAGATACAGCGGCAGCTGTTGCTTTATTAGTTAAAGCCATACTGCCGGATCGGGATCGCGAGCGTACCGTACTGGAGCGCATGGACGTGTGCCGGTACAAGACCACCGTGGCCACCCCTACGGCGCCTCGCCGGGCACACACGAGAACGCGCACCGCTGTGCGGTATTCGACGTTCAGGCTCAGGAAGATAAACTACAAAAAACATTAAAATTATCCGTTAAATTCGTATATAAATTATTGACTTTTTAACCGAAGATTTAAATTTTTTATCGCTGCCAATTAAGGAGCAGAAAGGTCACAGTTAGCCGGAACCATGTTAAAAACTTACCGGTGTCCCGGCCGCACCGCACGTCAACAGCAACTTCATCCATAAAACACCGGCCAGTTTTTCCTCAAAAACCCCAAAAAATACGTCGTAATAAACGGCGTCGGGACGTAGCACAACAAGTACCACAGGAACCACACGATCAGCATCACAGCGATCATCTGCTGGCGCCGCTGTCGCCCCTTATCACGTCGCGCCCGCCCCGCCGCCGCCTGGTTCGTCCGCAGTATACTGATAATGACAATCGCGTAAACGAAGCCCTGGATACTGAACGCGGGGGTACTGGACATCCCGTTGAGAATCGCGTACACGGGGAGATTATTTGGCAGCGTCCCGCAGTACCCAATGGGCGGGATGAGCCGGTACGACGCCGCATAATCCCACAAATGCGGGGCGGTGGAGACGAGACTGATCGCCCAGGTAAAAGCGATCATTCCGGTCAATACCGCCGGATGGGAGGCGCCCCGGTAATAATGCGGGAGGGTGATGGCGATCAGGCGGTTAATCGCCAGGAACACCGAGTTCCAGTGGGATAACGCGATCCCCGTGTACTGGATGAAGAAGAGCGGGACGCAGTTTATTGAGAACGGAAGTTGGGCTTGGGATGTGTAGATGACGGCGTTGGCTATGATCGTCGGAAGCGCCAGGTTGAAACTGTCGACGAGGAGCAAATGGATGATTAGGGGATTGGCGCCTTCTTTGAAATTGTGCTGGTGGAAGAGCGCCGTCACCAATAGAAATCCGGTGGCGGCACCGGCCAGACTGATAAAGGTCACGACGATGAACCATAAGGTAATGCTGTGTAAGGTCACCATCGGAATTATCCCGGTGATGTTGACCGTTGTATTGATAACTGTAATGTTGTCGATTACCATTTTTTCGAGGTGGGGAAAATCGGGGCGCCCTAATTAATTTTTCTGAGCGGGAAAAACCAGAACTGCTTGATAAAACGCCGTTTAAAAATACAGGATTGAACGATCTTCGAAGCAGGGAGTGCCACGAACGAAGCCGCAATGCAAATGTATATATAACTAAAATCCCCGTTAAACTGCGGGGTGTGTTTCAGGATTATGAGGCTTTTCCTGACGTCAGCTGTTTTGTGCTGCTATCGACAGTTGACAAGAGATTGACCACTGTATCGGCGTTGCGCCAACAACGGCACCGGTGCTTTGTGATGCTGATGAAAGGCCACCGGGGAGGGGCTTTGTTCACCGGCAGCGCTGTGCGTCGCCGTGTGGGCAGACACTGTCAGCGGTGTCGTATATATACGGTGAGCATTTCCAGTGATGATTATCTGCCGTTATACGCGAGACACTTCGGATTATTTGCCAGTCATAAAATAAGACAGGCAGTGTATCTTCTTGAGGTTGTTGATGATTTGTGAATGATTCCAACCTCAAGCCACTCCGTGGGGATCGGTCACATTCGGCGAAGCGTGGTAGCCTGGTTCTTGGTAGGTATGACCGGCCGAGCGAAGGGAGTAATTCGGTTAAAATAATAACAACAAACAGCCGTGTCGTGCAGTGCTACTTTAGAGTCTGTAGTAGTGTAGTGCCTTGGCAAATATCGGGGGAATTTTTCCTCCTGGCTGCACAGATGTTTACGTTATTTGGGGAACATAGAAAACGTTTTCATACTGGCCCAGCTTGTGTTTTGGAAAATGCCACACACGTGAACCGGGATTAGAAAAGACCAGCACGCAAACATTTTGTTTTCGTATGTCTGTATGGGCATTGGGCAGTGATGAAGGGAAGAATTTTTATTGATACAACAGATCGAAGCTACAGCTTTCTGATTATTTGTTAAGGTATCTACGTATTTCTTTATTCAGAGTTTAAGTATTCGAGATCTGACACAAGGTATCTCCCAGTATCAATTTTATTTTATTTTAAATTTCGCTGTGTTTACTTTTTTTGGATTTTTTCGTCATTTTATTATTGTACTGAAATTTATTTTACGTAAAGTATTTAATTTTTTTCTATGTTTCTTCCTTTCTTTAAATAAGAAATTAGTATGAATTAAACTGTTTAGTGTACTTAATTATCTTGGTAATCATTTACTTATCAATAATTATATCTTTTTTTAATTTACGCATTCTTTTAAGCGTTTTACTCGATGTCAATTATCCACGGAAAAAATTTCGGTAAAAATTTTCAACGGAATAAATTTTAAATTTCCACCAAACGTCTCCACATTTTTTTTATTTTGACCATTCTGCAGAAATATCAATGGCAAGTTTTCCCAAATTTTTCCCACATCTCCACAACAACCAGAGAGAGAGAGAGCCACAACTGGCCAGTTAAATAACCACATCGACACTAACCAGCACAACTGCTCTCAGTTTTCTCTCTTTCACACGCACAATCAGTCTCTGCCAGACATTCTGGCAGGGGGGGACGGCAATCGATCAGCACAGGGTGTTCGCCGCTCAACCGATCAGACAACAACAACAGCTCAGCATCAACGCAACAAAACAGACTCTGTGTGATTCTACGATGGCACCCGTGAATGTATGTTGCCGGCGGATCCCGGGGCGGAGGAGGCCGTCGCGGCGCCCCCGCCGTACGGACTGCCGGCCATACCCGGCCCGAACACCGGCACTCCCGTCATAATACTCCCAACCTACAATCCAAAAGAAAAAATATTAAAATAAATTAAATACCAACAAATAGTTTTTTTAAACCGTTTAAATATCAATAAATAGTTTTTTTTTTAAAATTGTCTTGTATCACTAATCATTGATTAAATGCTAAAAAAACACGAACACTTGCTAAAAAATTTTAAAAAGAAAAATTAAATAATAAATAAATAGCAAATATTTTTTTAAAATCTAAAATTAAATTTCAAATCAGTTACTTAATATTAAAAACTATCCAAGCTGCTGCATTGGTCCAACAACATGAACGTCCACAATTCAAAATTTCTGTATTCTGCATATATTCGTCGGTAAATTTACCCAATAATTTCTTGCTTTTGCGCAGGGTAATACTGATAAAAAAACGGTTAACATACGTAATTATAATCATCCCCAATCATCAGATGAGTAACTTTTTTCTCATAAAATCAAACCAAAACGTATAAAATTTTCAAAACACCAAAAAACTATTTTCCAATAGCTTTAAAAGTCTCCCTAGTGGAGTTTGGCAACTGTTGTTCGATAATAATAATAATATTACAATGAACAAAATTGCAAAAATACTAAAGACTCCCAGTTCTCTACCACGTCAACGACTGATTGAAATATCACTGATGAATATTAATGCTGGTTAATAATATTTATTTATTAGAAAATACTATCTACTTAATACAAAAGCAGTCCATAATCCAAATCGACTACATATTAAATTAAGAAAAAATAAACAGAAGCAAAAATAAATACAAATAAGAAATCTGATGCTTGATGGGGTTACCCTTTGAGATCCATCGGGCATTTGTGCAGAGGTGGCGGGACTGTTGAGCTGTGCACCGCCGGCGTTGGAGGGCAGGCCGGCGCGCATGAGCATGGGCTGCTGGATGACGGCGCCGGGCTGTATCCCGTAGTGCCGGTACAGGGCGGCGGCCTCGCCGGCGGCCCGCACACTCTGCTGTTGCTGCTGCGTCTCCAGCGCCTGCTGCAGCGCTCGCATGTACTCTACAACACACATATTCATGTATCCATTTACAAAACAAAAACCGTTTTCTCAAATCATAACACTTACAGAAACACAAAAACAGTAAAATAATCACAAACCAGAATTTAAAATAATCGCTTTTAATCCCGTAAAGTCATTTTCACAGTAAATTCCAGCAAACAAACTGAAGATTAAAAAAACTTCAGTCTCTAATTAAAAAACACAGCGCTTTACAAATTTTGCAAAATTATCTAGAAAAAGTGCTCTACTATCCACAATAGCACAACAAAATGTACATACTCTGAAAATAACTATCTTAACATTCAAGTCTGAAAATCGTAGTGAAATAAAAAAAAAAGACTTTACAAATTAGTTAAAGCAAAATATACATAGAAAAAACGTGCACGCTCAAAAAATACGTATCCCACAATTTAAAAAAATGTGTACATACTCTGAAAATAACTATCTTAACATTCAAGTGACTGAAAATCGTAGTGAAACGTCGCAAAAAAATAATCAAACAAAAATGTGAGTTGATAAACCCCTTTACAAAATCTAGCGCAAGAAAAATCGTGTCAGTCAGAAAAAGAAACGAGAAAGACAAAAACAGGATTTTTTCTCTCATGTTATTTTACCGGGATTACTGGCGTTCATGGCATGGATCTGCTGGGCCATAATACTCTGCTGCTGCGGTGACAATGCGGCGATATTCTCCGGCTTCTGCAGCATTAACTGCGGCGCCACCCCGCCGGCCGCGGCGCCCAGCATGTTGGGCACGAGACAGTACACCTGGCTGCCCAGCGTCGAGTAGGCCGCGGCGCCCAGCATGTTGGGCACGAGACAGTACACCTGGCTGCCCAGCGTCGAGTAGGCCGCGGCGTTGTTGCCGTAGGAGCCGGCCAGGCCGGCCACCTGCATCGGCGTGCTGACCGAGCCGCCGCTCTGGTTCATCGACGACACGGTGGATGTCGGCTTCGGTGGCGATTTGGCGCTGCCTAGACATCCAGCAAAAAATCAAACATTTACATCACTAGCCAATTAAATTTTAATTCACAATATTTTTAAAATGGACTTAAAGAATCCCATCAAATTTTACGCGTCAAAGAACCGACACTGCAGTCACTCACAAGAATGTAAAAACAAAATAACAGCATATTCAAAATACAAATAACAATAAGAACACAAATCCAATATTAACATTCAAAAATCAATGGAAGACCAACTTAACAGTATTTTTCCTTCTATACTGTATTTTTTAAAAAATCCAAGAGTTATAACGATCCACAAAACCGACACCAAAGCCACTTTCAAGACTTTTCAAATTAATTTAATTTTAAAATGAACTCAGGTAAGTATTAATTTAAAAAATATTTTCTCTAAATTTATTCACAAAATAGTTATTTTCAAAAAACCTGAAATAATACTATCCTACACTGTATCAGTAAAAACGCAGCTTTCGAAAATTATCTAGATTCGAGCATTTGACCAGCAAATGCTCACTATCACAGCATAAGCTTTGTATAAGCACATTAAAACTAATTACAACTAAATAAAAAAATAGCCTCAAAATTATGGAAAAAATGTCAGTGCTTGCAAAATGAAACAAAATTAAAATTAATAAATATTTAGTGACGTACGTCCAGAATGCGGTGACTCATTCGGGGGCATCATACTAGGCCGGGGAATCTTGGAGGAGACCGACTGCGGCGGCGGACCACCGGTGGAGGGGGCGCGGCTGCGCATGACATCGTGGGCGGAGGGCGGCGGCTGCTGCTGCCGGGAGGACCCCGAAAGGACCGCCTGCGCGTGCGCATGGGACTGCTGCTGTTGCTGCTGCTGCGCGATACGCTCGACACCGGGGGACACGCTGCGCTGCCTCTTCTGACCATGCTACAACCATGGAATTAATTTCCGTTATTCTTTTCAACAGAAAGGAGAAAATAAGCAGTATTTATTACCGGCTGGTGGGGTTCCAGGTGGGTGTTGTTCTGGTGCACCATGGCGCCCATGGGGACATTCATCGGTGGATAATTCAGCAGGCGCGGTCGCATGGCGGGATCTGGGCAAATAATTCACAATTATTTCACACATTACCGCGGTTTCAGTACAGTATTTCCTTGAATTATGCGTTATTATTCACAGCTGATTGGCATAGATATTCTGTTAATTTCTCAGTATTTACCTACTCACTATTATTATTTAACTACTTACTTTTAATTATACACTATTGTCCAAATTATAAATCATTTATTTTGCAGGCCACTGTTATTTTAATCCCACTTAATTTTATTTGGAATTTAATATTAATTTATTCAATTTGCGATATTCTGCAGTGCCACGCTGTGCTCTATTCGCCTATTCTCTCATCAAAATACTACTGACCAATGCAACCAGAATATGAGAGTTAAATAAAGAAACCGATAAAATTATTAACTTCGTTTAATGCAAAACCAAGAACTAAAAAACGCACGGCCAAATTTAAAGTACATAATACACCGTTATTAATGCCTCTTAAAAAATCGCAAAAATATTGCAAATTCTGCCCTAAATCAAAACACAAAAAAATAAAACTCGCATATAAAATTACGCAATTACAAATATTATACAGAGAGACATTTCGCACCCGTTGCCTCTTTCTCAAGAAAAAAGAAAGCATAAAAAACCGATAAAAAAGCGTGAAAATTTTTAATTAATCAACAGAAAGGTGTACTGCACGGAAAACTGTTCAAAAGGCTTTTCCGCCAGCACAACGAGATAACAACGCAGCCAAATAACGTACTGGTTTGGGAGATGAGCATGGAGGCGTTGGCGTAGGAGTGATGCTGCGGCGGCATACTCATACTGCTCGTCATCTCCCGGCCGCGATCCTTGGCGTCCTTCTGCTGCTTCTTCAGGGATTCCTCATTATTCTTGGCTTGCTTCATCTGCGTGAAGAGCTTCATCTGCTTGGCTTTCTCCTGCTTGATGCTGTCACGCAGTTTGGCCATCTAATTGTCAACAACACACCGATCATCATTAGCGCGTGCTCACAATTTTAACCAAGGATGCCGACTTTCGATCAATAATGCAACACACAATCCCACTCAAATCGCAAACAATTAGTGGACAACCGCAAGCAATTGAGCAAGAAATAAATCATGCGGGCAATAACATTGTTTTTGAAAATTCCGGAACGGCAGCAGCACAAATGGCAAAATTCCAACGACTGCCCGCGGGAAATACCGTTAAATCCTGATTTTTTCGTATTTCGGAGAATGGATTAAAATCTCCAGTTTAACGGGCCAAATAGCTGTCAGTCAAGCTTAAAAATTTAAAAACGGAAGCTGCTGTTTAATACAGCGGCTACTGACAAAAGAAATTTTAACAAATCAAGCTTGAAAAGCGCATCAAAATTCACCAAAAAAATACGGTTTTTCGGTTAATAAAAAACTATTCTTGCGAATTATTTTTAGATAAAAATTCACCATCAAAATAAGAAAACTTTTATTTTGAAACACAATAACACCAAAATGCAGCCATCAAAAAAGCCTCATAATATTTGGAAAAAAATTCCCCCTAGCAAACGATAAAAATGATAAAATAAAACAAAATAGACTAAAACAGAAGAAAATTGTAGTGTAGTGGCTACGCACTACGGCAGTGCGCTACAAAAATAAATTATATCAGACGATCAGTTGAAACTACACGCCGTACACGGAAAAAATTACACATATAAATAAGATTTAATAGTGATAATTCGGGGAAATCAACCACCAGATCCCCACCTTGCTCTCCAGATCGGCCGCCGCATCGCGATCCCGTGCCAGTTTCTTCTTCTCCTCCTCCTTCCGCAGAATCTGCTTAGCCAGACTCTGCTTCTCCCGCTCCTTACTGGCCACGATCCTCTCCCGGATCTTCTCAAACACCTCCTGGGAGATACTGGGCCGATACGCCCCAAGCATCCCTCCCTCGCCAACGCCGCCCCCAGCCCCCGGGGCCCCGGCCTCCGACCGCCCCACACCATTGACCGGGGGCGCGGGCTCGATAAACCCGTTGGAGGTGGCGCTGGTGTTGGCGTCGGGGGCGTCGGCGCTGGAGGTGGTGGCTCCGGAGGATTCCTCGTAGTGCGTGCTGGACTCCTCGCTGGCGCGCAGACGCCCGTTCACCAGGGCGGCACGGGTGGCGGGGGCGTCGGGGACCCCGTCGGAGGCGTCGGCCCCGTCCACGTCCATCCGCTCCACAGGGGCTGATAAATAGAGTTTCTGGCGCGGCATGCTGGAGGAGATGGTATCACGCTGCGCATTGCGTCAAGAAAGAGTTGGGAGAGGAATATTCCGCTTGGGCACGGTGGGCCTGGGCAAATCCCTGTAAATCGACATGTTAATCAGTACTGCATGTACAGGTTACTCGAGGCAGCGCACTATTTACGGATCTCGTACAATTATAGCACATTAATTAAATAATTTTTGTGGTATTTTAATTTCTCCATCAAGTGAGCTGCTGCCGTAAGACCAATAAAAACAAGGAAAAAAATACTGTACCATAATTATAATAAGCTTCCAAAATCCCAAGATAACAAACAGAAAGTTGTTAACAAGGAACAAAAATAAAACCCGCAGGTTGATGATGAAAATTCAGGTTGTTTTAATTTGGCGAGCGATCGATTAAACCATCCATTAAGAAACAGGCGGAACGGATTAACGGATCCAATAGATAATAAAATCCCTTCTGAAAATATTCTCCTCGCAAAATCTGAAAGTAATACTCTAAACTGAATTAAAAGACTACGAAGAACCCTAACGACTACTCGCAATAAAACACTTCAATAAACGAGAAACTTTCAACTTTGGCAAACTGCGAATGGTGTGAAAATGTGGTTGCATTTCCCCTTCCGCCTCACGGCGATTCCATTGGCAATGGCATTCCAGTGAGAGCACTCACTGGAATTGGATTAATTTAGCACACGGCTGCACTTACAGTCTCACACGAGTAAAAAGAATTCGAATTTCTGGTTAATCATTTCTAGTTTTTTGTTCCTAAAATTTTTAAATGATAGAAGAGATTTTTTTTATTACGCCCTAGTGCAACACCACATGCTTCATAATTCCCATCAAGTCTGGCGCTGGAATTCTATTTTATTAATTTTGGAAACTGCACAACGCTGTCGGCTGTACACAACCGACAATAACAACCGAAAATTAGAGCAGTAAAAATAAAATATTCAAAATTAAAAAAGATCTTTAATTTCTAAACATGGTTAAACACACTGTTTAATAATATCACAGTCCGCAAAAACAATAAATAAGTTAAAAAAACCAATAAAACTAATGGCCTGTCAATAAATCCACCGACACCATTCATTCACACTTCCGAGTGGAATCCGGATATTTCATCCGCAGTTCCTCTTTGAAAATAGCAAACAATCGGCGATTTTGATTGAGTTCCTCCGTTTTCGTCTGGTGGAAATTGTCGCTGGTTTTAAATCCCAAATGCATCACGAATGCCGTGTCCAATACGGAGAATTTATAGCCTGCTACGAACAGCTCGCATGCCTAAAAAATAATAACATTAAAATTGGCAGAAAACGTAGAGAAAGGGCTGCCACAAGACAGTGTATTGCATAGTCGTAATGCGGAATAACTTATTGTCAGAATAATCCAACAAGCTATCAATCAAAATTAAAAGCAACCGAAACAATGTTTTCAATCATAACTTTTTGCTGCTTTGATCTTTGTTGAACCGATTCTGCACAGAGAAAAATCGGGCCAGAATACATGAAAATGTGCTTACACGAAGATGTTAACGAAAACCAGTAAAAGTCTATAAATTACATGTTTTTCTCGGGAGAACTTGTTTATGTATACAGAAATATTTTTCAGATGATAATTTACTGGAACACTTACAAAATACAGAAGAAAAAAACTAAAATTTGATGGACTGAATAAAAATACAATTTTATTTAAATTTTAAAAAATCTAATTTAATGAAAATTTAATTTTAATTTAATTCACCTGTGAATTCAAACCGAAAATCAACCTCCTGAAAATGAATTCCTAATAAATTAATAAAATATTCAAAATTATTGTAATAAAATACGTACATGACTAATGCGATTAAATCCATACTGCTTGAACCGCTCATCAAACCACGGCGCACTACGATGCACAATCACAAACGGCTCCCAGGGATCGCGCCACTCCACGTCGTACGCCACCGCCATCTTCCCTTCCGTCGGCGCCGTCTCCCAGCGCCGGTAGTCCGTGGGCTGCTGGCATTTCCAGCACATTTCAAAGTAAAAAGGCCGCGCCTGTAACTGATGCATTTGCGTCAGCAGCTGCGGTTTGTGCGCCGGGGTGGTGTCCGGGCGGCGTAGCTCGAAGGCCGGGAGGACGAAGACCTGGTGGTCCAGCGGAGGGGTGGCCAGGGTGTAGTTAAAGGGGGATAGGAAGGCCAGGAAGTCGGTGTAGAGGTCACCGCTGGGCAGCATGTCCACGTCGATGGTCAGGTAGAACTGTGAGAGGGTGAAACGGCGGGCCACGTTGCGCAGGAGGTTGTTGGGGTAGGGATGGTCCAGGTTGTAGTTCTGGGATGCCCATTGTCCTACCAAAATTTCACAACGTTCAATTTCACATCTTTGTTGATAAATTACTGAATTATTCTGGACACTACAGTAATTTCTATAGAATTTTTACTACACACGAATATCTACGAATTGCGGCCACTATTCACTTTACCACGAGAAGAAAAAAACTAACAATCTTCAAAATAGTTCTGCCCCCAATTTTCTTCAACACTTGAAGTCTCTGAAAGTGCGGCAAAAGTGATCACATGAAAAACCCGAAAAATATGTATAACACCTTTAACTGAACAAATTAACTCATTTAAAATTTAATTATTTATTAACTTGTTATGATGTATCTCACACACGTTCGATAACCGAAATTGGCTAAAACAATTGACAAGAGCTTTGACAGCTTTGTAGTACAGATTATCGAATACATGCTCTGAAATTATAAGCGTTGTGTCACTTATGTCACAGTTTTGTGTAATAAAAATTAATGCAAAAATGAATTCGAAATAAAGCAAACAACGTTGTTCCAAATTCATTTTTTTTAAAAATTATTTAGCTATTCATCCAACTGTTTGGATGACTCACAAAATAAAATAAAACCTCCATAAAATATGTAAAAACCAAATTTCTAATAAGGAAATCAAAACTAAAAATCAGAATTCAAAATTAAAATGATGGAGAATAAACGGTTTATTCTCCTTAAATAAACGGTTTATGGTTTATCATAAACCACATACCGTACTTTGATGCCTACTCACCACTGATCACCAGCTCCCAATAACGCAGCGGGAGCGACCCATTACATCCCCGCAACTCCCCTTTCCCTCGACGCCCCAGGCCTCCTTTCTCCCCCACCCCCGGGGAGACCACATGGAACGTGACATACTCCGCAACCAAGGGATAACACCGTCGCATCCCATCCAACACCTCTCTGATCTCTCCCAACAACCCCGGCGGGACAAACACCGCCACCGCCATCCCCGCGGTCCATCGCTCCACCAGACGGGGTACATAGCGTAGATTATTCAAGGAAGTGTGCGTCAAGAGGGTGAGAACGGCGGGAGCCGGAGGAGGAGCATGCGCGGAGAAGACATCGGGGAAGATTCGGTAGGTCCCCGATGTATCCAACACGAAGGAGGACTGCTCCGCTGCGGGAGGATCTGGATCCACGGCATCATTGCAGAAAATATTCCGCAGTTTTTCGTTGGTAGGGGTATGGAGGGAGAATGCGAAGAGGATGAGGATAAGGAGAACAGCACAGAAAGTCCAGTATCTCCGTCGACGAGCGCGACAGATCATCGTCAGTCGCACTCATAATTTTCGGTATTAAAAATTAAAACTTAAAAATTTCAGTAAAATACAAACACTGAAGGAGCATTAACATGAATTTCCGCATAACTTCGGTAATTAATAAAAATAAAGAAAAACTGCAAAAATTTGCTTCGATTTCCAGTGACAAATCACAATCGCCAATACCTATATAATAATTAACAAGGATTAATGAAGAAATATAGAAAAAAATTTTAAGTACTGTACGTAATAATTTCGTGTAAATACCTCTTACAGCAGCACGTGGTGCGGTCGCACTGTCGGCACCCTGACCCTGGGCAAACGCCAAGACTCAAAATTTAAAAACGCTTGCGATTCTTTTGAGAATTTCTGTTGCAAAACGATTCTGAACCAAACCTGAATTTTTTCTGGTTTTATGACAACATGAACATGATATGAAAATTTAGAAACATGCCATGCTTCCGTTTCGGTTCGGATTCAGAGTATCGCCTACCGGATCGCGTAAGCATGTGTGGAGACGAATTTTGATGCACCAAACCGCATTCCCATTCCCACGCCTTGTCCAATCAAAAAAAAAAAACCGGTCGCAATCTTTTTGTGGGAAAATTGCCAATATTAACTACTGAAGCATACGGCATGTGCTGTACTTCTACCGCACTGACACTCAAACAGGGGTTTATTAAAATCGCGAAATCTATGCGGCCTGCCGCCTGCGTAATCAACTGATACTCGTAGAAACGTCTACCCGACAGAACGACATAAAGAATTTCAATTCAAAATAAGCTAAAGAATAAAAGAGGTTACCATAGGAGATGCTTGCAGTACAGATTCATAAAAATGAATATAACGTCTGTTTTACCAAACGACACCATCTAACCTATCCTCCACAGCAAAGAATAACTTGGCCAGCGGACTCATTCATTTTCCTTGCTGCATCTTCCAGGCATCAACATCCCCCGGGTCCAAGGACAACTCCGCGAATCCTACAGTACGACACTTCCCTCCCAGGCGAACCCAATGCAGCCCGTCCCTCACGACGCCCATGTACTCTCCATAATCACTCAATGAGTGAACACAGACGTCCAGCCCCTTTTCCAGGATGACCTGAGCACGAAGCACCTTGTCGATGGGTGCAGTGCCTTCATTACCGTTATCGCACCAGGTGAACACCACAAGCTCCTGATGGACGTTGGATACTCGGGCTGAGTGCCACAACCATAAATCAGCCTTGAACACAAACACTTCCGCTCCCGTACTCAACACCCTGCCCTGCCCGCTGCGAGGCTCCGTGGGAAATGGAACATCCGGCTTGGCTGCGGCATTCTGGTACATGGACAATCGGAACAACTCCGATTCCGTTAGCAGGCCGCTCTGCCGTAGAGGCAACAGTAGAAAGGTTAGCAAATTGATTATGGCTGATTGTCTACAAAGTTAAAAAGTTCACAAAGTTTACAAAGCAGTCCGAGTCCGTAAACGGGCACCCACACAAATCCTAATGACCTTGTTCATTGAAGAACGTCAAATAGGGAAGGCATACTTCTATACATATTATAAGCTCACACACCTCACACAACTCGTTAAACCGCAGTAATAACTAAATACAGTAAAATACGTGCTACAGAGAAGCAACACGTCACATTGCTGCTGGCTAATCCGGGCATAAAGCTACGTCATGCACATGGCCAGCACGACTGACAGATTACAACTGTACTGGCTCACCTTGAGAGGACCGTCAGCCAATGCCGCATTGGTCAGAAGCGGGAAACGTACACGAAATAACGCGTCTCCCAGTACCTGACGCCGATTAGCGGCGGAAGCATCCACGGCGCTGCGACCACAGGCCGCCGTTGTCCACCTAAATCAACATCTTTCACGAATCACCAACATCCGTAATAGCAGAAATTCCACAGCTCCCGAATTCCGATTCTTATTATTTTTATTTTCATGTAACGGCTCATTCACTGGCTTTTCGTAGAACAATAACGATACTCAGCAGGATACAGAACGTATCTATAATGGCATACAGGTACGGTGGTACCAATTGCCAGGTTTAACATTTTATATACGCCTTACGCACCGTTCGACAGCCTCGTAAATCGTATGTTCTTCCGCAGACAGCGTGTCAGGATGGCTTGCAGCGTTTCCCGAGAAATGTCCGTGAATCCATCCGACTGCAGAACTGCAGCAGTGTGCGCATCCATCAACGTCACACACAACTCCATGATGATGTCAACATGCCAATCCACAGCCTGCGGACAAAGAAACCGATCTTTCCTACTCGCAAGAGTTACAACTGATGCCGTACACAGTCACTCTAATAAGAGGAAGCAACCGTGCCTGTTTCCAAATGGATAGACAATTCTCAACTTTCAAATGGCTCTCGATGAAGTCCGAGCAAATCTGCGTCAGCTGCGGCAAATCGTATTTATCGGCGCAGCTCATGGTGGCGACAACGTTATCAAGATGGATATGATCAACCGTGTCCGTGTACATGAAACTACAAGACGGCGAAAATGATTAACAGCACAAATGCAGCTTGAATAAAAATAATTTCCGATCACCAATGGTACAGACGACAGAGACCTACAACAACTTATCATGGAATGTACGGCGGTTTCATCACGTCAGCTAGTCCACCACTGCCCAACTTCTGCCTTTTTGCGCCCTTCGAAGAAGTTGCCATCGTTCGCTATTCGATCGGTAGCTTCTCACTGATTATGACAGGAAAGTCTCGAGGACACAAAATTTGTAGTTAAAATCAAAAGTCGGGCAAACAATTGTAAATAGAACTAAAAGAATGCGAGTATCGACATCGGACAAAGTAAACTCTCAAAAACTACGTACTCGTAAGCATTTCACTATTACACTGTAACGTATTTCAGAAAGCTCGGCCGTATTTCAGAAGCGCAGCGCCGTGCCACGGTATCAGTCAAATCAGCTCACTGGTCAAAAAGCGTAACAGCCACTCACATGACTCAGAGAGGGCACCGCAACATTTCGCCGCGGACAACTGGTCGCAGGACATTTAGCCGCAGACATTTCGCCGTAAGGATATTTCGCTTCGCGACGTTTCGTCGCGGGACATTTGGTCGGGTGGACATCACGCCGCAAGACATTTCGCCGCGGGGCCATTTCGACGCCGAGACAATTCGCCTCAAGAATGTTTCGGCAGCGCCAACTTGCATCCGTCAGAGAACAAGAATTACTATAACAGTCGAGAAAACTAAAGAATATAAGAAGAACGAAAAGTAAAAAACCTAAGAAATCTAAAAAACGTAAGAATCGTAAGAAACCTAAAAAACGTAAGAAACCTAAAAAATCGCGCAAACATGTTAAAACACAGCGTTTCGATTCGTTCTGACGGCAAACCGTCCGCGGCCAGATGTCTTGCGTCGAAATGTCGCAAAGGTTAAATGTCTCAAAGCAGTATGTCCCAAAACGAAATGTCCCAGCGACTAGATGTCCCGCGGCGCAATGTCTTTGCGGCAAAAAGTCGCGCGTCGAATTTAGGTGCGGCGGAATGTCCCACTCCCAAATGTCCGGGTGCGCTCAGGGCACGTGCTATTCAGTGGAGTTGTGACAGCAGCGCCTGGGACAGCAGCGCCTGGACTTGTTGTACGAATTATCTGTACAGTCTGCAGTGTTTTGTAAACTGCAGTGTTTTGTAAACTTTCCAGATTTTACACGTACAGTATTATCCGTATCGTCACATCTTTTATCAGCAGATGCTACGGTTGGGTTTTATCGTACGGACAAACAAGCGGTGCTTTGCAGTTTGCAGTGGCTTACAATCGAATTATGTACAGAGTAGAGCAGTGTACAGTAATCAATTCTGCGAGCCGCATCAATGTGCAGAGTTTTTTTTAATTTTAAATTCGAACAAGTTTTTTAGTGTGAATCAGCGCAGGCATCTTGTTATGTATACTGGCTGTTGTCGAAATAAATATCATGTGCAGAGTGCCATAAAAAAGGTGTGCAGTTTTGTCTAATAAATTGAAGGAGATCGGTCCATAATGCGACTTCGGGTACAGACACCTGACAGCTTTTAAAGTTTTAGTGATTTTCTTACAGCCATAACTGTTACCGGATGTTGCACGCAGAACGTCAATGACGTCAATGTATGTAAATCATTTCGGTACACAATGGCATAAGACGCTGCAAAGTGTTTGGGAGTGCGCGAAAGTAAAAGCATGACGAACATGCATGCATGAACCCGAATTTGGTACCCGTAAGTGCAAGTACCCAAATTTGGTACTATGATGGTGGATCTAGGAAGAATCCACGGACAGAGACAGAAACGGAATCTATCCTGCAGAGTGAGCAGTGTTGTATACTACGAGTTATGCGGAAACGCAAGACACCCGACAATCAACTGCACACTTTATCCCATTCACATGACACTACAGAAGCTCCCGCAGCATTCAGAATGCTGCGGGGCCAAAAGAGCAGCAAGTTACTCAGACGACGATGGCTAGCAACTGAAGAATCTACCAGATTGAAGATCTGGTAGATGAAGAAATTCAACATCAGAATACAGCAAAACAACTTAGCACCCGCACCAGTGCGGGCGTACGGGGAGGCCACTCCTCCTCACATGCCTGCGGGTGGAACCCGTGAGGTCCTCCGAGCGTATCGCGCGGCGTCGCGAACTCCCCTCCACGTCTTCTTCGGTTGAAGTCGACACGACCGATGCGCATCCTTCACATTGCAGCCACGGCTCCGTGCCTTCGGTACTGGAAAAGCTATCACATACACTTTCGTTTCACTTTTCTCGCACCTTCGCTTCGGATTCGTTTCGTTACTGTATCCGCTGACGTCACCGGTGCCTGCGGTACTGGAAAGACGTCACATACGGCTTGCTTCACATCGGTTCACGGTACACTTCGGTTCGGCTCGGTTCACGGTTCGCTTCACTTCGGCTCGGTTTTGGATCCAGTCCGCTCTGACCTCTTTAACCTTGTCTGGGTCAACGCACTGACTGCGACGAATTCTGCTGTCCAACCCGGAACTCGGTAAATTTCGGATTTTTTCCGTCAGGAAAGGTCACGTTCTGAAGAAAATCGGGCAGGGGTTTGGGACACTGGTACACTGGTGACCCTGCAAACACCAAAATACGCTTTTTCGGTGGGGAAATTCCGCTGCATCCGTCCAGGAAAGGTCGTCATCCCAGGAAAATCGGGCAGGGGTTTGGGGCAAATGATACTGGTGACCCTGCGGAGCAGCTCACTGCATCGTCTGTGGTGGCAGGGTACACGTGGGCTTCGGTGGCTGGCAGTCCTTTAGCTGCTGTGGACTGGAGTTGGCGTAGTCGTCGCTGGCTGGCTGCTGACGTTCTTGTTCCATCTTCTTTTCGCGATCCATCTTCTTTTCGCGATGACGGCATCCGTATAGCCGTTCTTCTTGTTCCATCTTCTTTTCGCGATCCATCTTCTTTTCGCGATGACGGCATCCGTATAGCCGTTCCCTTTTGCTGCTGCTGCTGCGGTATCCTTATAACCGCTTAAACGATTAAAAATTGTCCCAATGGATAAACGACACGCTCTGCTACCATATGATGGTGGATCTAGGAAGAATCCACGGACAGAGACAGAAACGGAATCTATCTTGCAGAGTGAGCAGTGTTGTATACTACAAGTTATGCGGAAACGCAAGACACCCGACAATCAACTGCACACTTTATCCCATTCACATGACACTACAGAAGCTCCCGCAGCATTCAGAATGCTGCGGGGCCAAAAGAGCAGCAAGTTACTCAGACGACGATGGCTAGCAACTGAAGAATCTACCAGATTGAAGATCTGGTAGATGAAGAAATTCAACATCAGAATACAGCAAAACAACTTAGCACCCGCACCAGTGCGGGCGTACGGGGAGGCCACTCCTCCTCACAGTACCATGGGCATGTATCAGGTCACTGCAGCCAAGCTCAAAAACTGCTTTAAAAATTTTTGAATATGGAGATAGCATAGTGCATACCTCGTTATTGCTAGCCGAAAGGGTGATGCGTCTGAATGCGCACAACAGCATCTTTTTAACACACCTGTGGCACGTTTCGTACCAAAGAAAAAAACTGGGTCGTTTTTTTCCTTCCGGTAGTCACGGTAGACATCTGTATACAGGCTGTAGACACCATGTAGTCCACCGGTAGTCACATGGCTTCTTAGGTTTTCTTAGGATGTATACAGGGTGTCTACAATGGTGTCTACAGGTTGACTACGGTGTCTACCGCTGTATACAGACAGCCTCCCTGGATCCAGCTGGATGCTCTGCTTGTATTACAGTTGTATACGCCGGTAGTCATCTGTAGCCCGTAGACACCACTGTAGACATATTGTAGTCACCTGGTTTTTTGGGGTTTCTTAGGATGTATACGGGGTGTCTACAATGATGTCTACAGGTTGTCTACGGATGTCTACCCAACTGAATTCGGAACTAATAAACACTTATGTAAAATCTACGGCCTACCAAGTACAGTACCAAGTTACCAAACGCCTGCTCGTAAGCGTTCGCGAAGATTGCTTCTCGAAACCTGTGCAGTGACAGTCCGAGTCGAAGTTTGGATCATAGTTGTTATCGACGCGTGTAGACGGCAGATATATCAATCTGTTGATTGTAGATAATCTATATATTAGCCCGTCAGGAAAGTAGATTTTCATCGATAGATCTGACGAACTGCATCAATAGACCTGCCGACCCGAACTTATGCTTTGTCTATGGGGCCTTCAATAGTTCTGCCGAACCGGCACAACAGTGAAATCTGATACCCTTGTTGACCGCATGAACAGTCCGGGAGTGCTGCCACTTGATAAAGTTCACATACAGCCGCATTAGGAAACTGTACCAGCGCTACGGAGGCAGAGGCGTGTGATATTATCGTGTTTTTGTGCGTACGTTTTTTTTGTTAAATACGGTAACACTGGTGGATGCAAGCACATATATTGCAGTAGCCACCATAGCAAATTTTTTTTATTTGTAAATTAACGTTTTTTTAAAATTTTTGAATTTCCCCATAATTCAAGATTATTTGTCTAATTCGTTATACATATAGCACTCATTAAATATGACCTTAGTCAACTGTTATAAAATTAATTGTGCCTAAAAAATGATGACACGTGCAGTCCGCAAACTGCGCAAGTACTTATCAATTCTGTTGAGCAAAGACAGCAACGACAGCACGGAAGGCGGAGTGCTATGTTTTTTTTTCCTCATTCTTATGTTGCGCAAGCACATGTAAATTACTTGCCACTTTCGTATCGCAACAGTAAATACATTTTCTTCTTAAAATTAATTAGGTTTAAGAATTAACGTCTCTTTATATTTTAAACATTTAGTTCAAAAACGAACGCATTGTAATTGTGTACACATTACTCATTCTGGTTGTAAAGCGAAGTGCAACTGGATTTTGATAAGAATTAAAGTATACCTTTCTTGATCTAGCGAACTTGTTAAACCAGTGCAATTTCTTTTACTTCAAATTTGTTTTAATAATTTTATCAATAGATCTGATGAAATGCATCAATAGACCTGTCGACCGATCCCATGCTTTGCTATGGGTTCATCAACAGTTCTACCGAACCCGCACAGCAGTGAAACCTGATATTCCTGTTGACCGCATGCCGGCTTCTGCCGCTCGGGCCGAGCTGCAGCCTGAATACACCCGCTTAGGCAAATCATATCAGCACTAGCCACTAGGTAAGCAAATTTGACGTCACCTTAATGCAAAGTATACGTAGTTGAATAAAATGAGTATACATTTATCTCGTAATTAAAATTAAGTAATGCAAACAATTCTCTTAGGTGGTTAACGTTTAATCGTGCAGTTAACGTACTCGTATGTACATATCATGCCTGCGGCACAATTTATGTAAGTACTCTAACTGGTATCAGTATGAATCATTTTGTTGATTAACG